CGATAATCTTCTATGAAATCAAAATTCATTCCCAATAATGTAATTGGTACCAAATTAAGATTCATATTAAAATTATTATCCAAAATTACTGTCATCTAAACATAGCTTAAGGGCCTACCCATGAATTTGAGGGAGCAAAAAAAAAAAAGAAAATAGTATTCTTTTGTCACATTAAATTCCTAAATTATTCTCAAAACATATTTGTGTAATATATAGGAAAGCATGACATCAGACAATGCCATTCTGACAGCAAAAGTTATACCATTTAACATCACACACTGCAAAAGTGTGCTTTCCTTTCTGTGACGCATTCAACTTTCTTTCTACAACAACAACAACACCTGTCCTTCCACTTCAAAAGTTTTACACCGTTTAGCCCTTTTGATAGACCACCTGGCCCTCCCATGGAGATGGCTAAGGTACTGATTCGGCGCCGTACTGAAATCCATCTGCATCTATCAATTTTAATTTGGATGATTTTCAACTACTAATTGAAAAGATGATAAATTAATAAATAATAATAAACTTAAAAAACTTTACAGTAACATATTTTTATTTGATGAAAAATATAAAAAAGGTACTCCAAAATTATTTTTCAATACCATAATTAAACCCTCCAACCATAATGAATAAGATGCACAAAACTTTTTCGGACTAGACTACGGTATCGAAAAAAAAAAATCAGTACCTTACCTCTAAATTTCACTACTTCAATGGGTGTTTTTATAATTTTTATGGGTTATTTTATAACCAAAAAATTTATCATTTTTATGGGTAATTTACCACATTTTTTAGTATTTTTGTCACTTTTGTAATATTTTTATCACTATTGTGGTAACTATTTTTACCACTTTTCTTCGTACAAAAAAAATTATCACTTTTATGGGTGATCTAATCACATTTGAGGGTGTTTTACTACTATTGTGATTATTATTTTTATTATTTTTTAAGTAATATAACAATAATAAAAATATTCATAAATATTTTTTTTTGATCATTGATGTCATCTCATTGGATGTCACTCCTCTCAGGCATATTAGAATTGGCATAGATTGATCAAGGGGACAGAATATATTAAAAAAAAAAAAAAAAGCATAATGCCAAAGAAAACATGATGTTTAGCATGCCGCCACACTTGAAAGATGCTCAAATAATTCACCATTATTTTGTTCAATTGCTCTCAATCAACTCCATAATTGAGAACCAAAGTTCATCACGCTAGAGAGAATCTTGTGCTAAACTAAGATCTTTGTTTCTTACATTCTCATTTTGGGCTATTTTAGATCTATCTCGATATAGAGAAAAAAACACACACATGCACACACAAATGTGAGTATAGGAATGTGCCTTCAAAAATATCACATCATTAATTTTTATCACATGTTTAATCATTTAATATTTGATTAATTTATAGTTCAACATTATTTTTATTTCAGAGATTATCCATACACAATAATCTACACGTGTTGTGAAAGTTTTGTCAAATTACATATTTTGAGAAAATTTTGTCAATATTTTTAAGAAAATAATATATAAAAATAAATTTTAAATAATGTAATTAAAGAAATGAAAGGAAGAAAAAATTGTTATTTAATATAGTGAGATTGATTTTTTGAACGCTCGAATTTTATATTTTATCGTGCCTTCAGACACGGATTATGACTAGTACTAATAAGGGAAATGCTATGCATACCAAAATTTTTACCAAATTTTTTTTTTTACCAAATGAGTTGACAATTCCAGATCACTCTTACACCCACCAAATGCTGATCAAAATGTTTTTAATTGGATACGGAAATGTCAACTCGTTTGTTAAAAATATTTTTTGGTAAAAGTTTTGATAAGTATAGTATCATTCTTTTGGAAATAGGAGAGATCTAAAAAAGAGGGTGAAATACTGGCCTAATGTACATATCATTCACCACCACCACCTTTTGGTCCTTTTCTATATGTATATGATATTGATGAACTGACAAATGGAATGTAAACATTCATCATATAATCCAAGGTTTTTAAGTGTGGAGACAGACATGGTGGTGGTGGTGGTGGATCTGATCATACTAGAGCATTGGGTTGGGAATATCCTGATGCCAACTAATAATATGCTTTTATACGACCTTCTCAAACCTTCACTTCTGCAACAAAAGTCTTACCATGAGTTTATTATTATGGAAGGAAAAAAAAATACAAGATAAATTAAATTGTTACTTGTCATAGGGACATCTGCGGGGATAGCTCAGTTGGGAGAGCGTCAGACTGAAGATCTGAAGGTCGCGTGTTCGATCCACGCTCACCGCATTTTTGCTACCCAATTGCCTGGTCTATGGAAATTCCTTCACAGCGTCAATTCCACAAACACATGAGGGTTGGCAGGCCTGTCTGAACAAGTTCCGCCCCCCCCCCCCTCTCTCTCTCTCTCTCTCTCACACACACACACACACACACAAACCCAAGTTTTCAGACTACAGATCATCATTATCAAAATCTTCTTCTTTGTTTTGGGTCCTCAGCCTTTTTGCTAAATTTCGGAATTCCTCGCTTAATGTTTAAGTTAAAATTTTTATAATTACAGCAATTTGTTGGAGCTAAACTTTATTCTTCAACGTCCAAATCACGCAATAAGACCTTAATTTTGGTCCCGATATAGGTGCGGTAAAATACCTTGCAAATAGCCGTGTGATGGTGGTGATGATCAATGTTCTTGATGAATATGTGAAGGGCCTATCTGCATATTCATTCCATGTGCCAAAAATAAAAAATTAAAAAAAAAATACTTAATCATCCTCCAAATCCATGATATGGCCGAGTTTGAATCTTGACCTATCTCGGCGATTCATTCATGCAACGGCTGTTTACATATCTCATCTACATGGAAATCAAAACCAGAACATATCGAACAGTTGAAGAATAGGAAGGGTTAAGCATGTACCCTGAGAATCAAACTAATGTCGCCTATTCATCTCGATATGGTGTCCATGAAACATTCCCTGCTAACAGAAAAAACACCGAAAGGTATACTCTTTGATCATTGCGTTAAATGACCAATGGTCAGAATTCAGATTATGCATTGACAGCATCAAACACATCAGCTTTTGCAATACAACAAATTTGGAGCTGTTTAAAACAACAACAAACAACAATATGCCCATCAACTACTGGTACAAGAACCCTGAATTCCGTCGGTTTAGGAATTTTCAGGAACCCTATATTTCTTCTTGAATGAAAACAATAATAGCAAATCACATTATGGAAATAGCTAAAAGAAATCGAATTCGAGATAATTATCAGAGCTTTTCTGATTGGGGGTGGCTCCAATAGTAGCTTTCTCACTACTAGATGCTGGTGGGGCTGGAATGCGCTCAACCTCAACTGGCTTTGGGATCTCTGGAGGACTTGCACAACGAATCAATGCCCAGTTTACACCATCAAAGAAGGGATGTTGTTTTATCTCTGTTGCACCTCGCTTGTATGCCAACCTGTGCTGTGGCTCTTTTACTAACAAGCCTCTTATAAGATCCCTCGCTGAAAACCCGACAACAGGTGATTCTGGGAATCGAAGTGGCTGACCCACAACGTTGAAAAGGGTGGCCCGGTTCCCAGATCCCTTGAAGGGAGTCTTGCCGAACAATAATTCATACAAAAAGATTCCAAAAGTCCACCAGTCCACAGCACTGCCATGCCCCTCACCTTTGATGATTTCAGGGGCCAAGTACTCGTGGGTCCCAACAAAGGACATTGACCGTGCCCCTGTTGGCTCTGCAATAAGCTCTGGCAATGGGCTAACTTGGTTTCTAATTTCATTTTTTGGTTTCCGATCTTTCTTGGATTTACTTGAAAAGAGGCGAGGGCCAAAACATGTTGTAGGAGCCACACAGGATGGCTGAATACAAGAGGGCTCAATGCAAGCAGGTTGGACACAATATACAGGGTTCTTCCGTAGGGGTTCAGTCTCAAAGGAGGACGACTTGACTAGTGTTGGGCTCACAGCACAGCGGAGGGAAAGGTCAAAGTCAGAGAGCATTATGTGTCCATCTTCCCTCACAAGGACGTTTTCTGGCTTGAGGTCACGGTACACAATCCCGAGCATGTGGAGGTATTCCAAAGCAAGGAGGACCTCTGCCACATAGAACCTGCATTTTGACATTAGAAAGAAATCACAATGGAATGTCCAACCCTGGAAGAACTAGAAATATTGTCGTACGAGGGGAAAAGATGCAATTCACAACTTAGCAAGAAAAGTGTCAAGTAAAAATTATAACTAAACTAACTCATGTGCACTCCACTCCAATTAACTAACAAACTGACCTAAACTAGAAATGTCAAATGAATTCACTGAACATTAATACCAAAAAGGATTGCATTCAGTAATTTTAACCAATTGATGCATCAAACCGCCGCCCAAATGTGTTTTTATATATGTATTGCTTCCATGGAAGTTCCTATCCACCTTCTGATTCAGATGTCCTGTATTGGTGTAAACATTTTAGGCATTACTCTACTCAATAAAGCACTCACGCCAACAAGCTTTTCAAATCTCAAAACGCCAGCATTCCACCACAAAAACCAAACGTCTCCTTGGTTAGAAAGCCATAAGACAGGTCAAAATATGGCAAGTAACAATCTAACACCGGCAAAAAGTATTGCCTAGGGAGAAATGAATTGGTCTTCATTACAACCTGGAGGATACTAATGCTATACAGTAAATGGAAGGAGGAAATGTAGACAAGGCCACACCCAAAGGTCCAGGGAAGTATATGGAAAGTGGAAAACAGATCTCTGGTATGCTTTTGTTTGGAGGAATGGTCATCCCATGTACCTACTCCAGAAAGATAAACAAAATAAGGGAAACCTAACAGGCAATCTAACAGACAGTGGAACTTCAACAATACAGTTAGATAACAACAAATTTCTAAAGCAGGATGACCAGAGGAACATAACATTCTTGATTATCCTTTAGGAATTAACACAATTTTTGGCAGATCTTAGCAACTTTAACATTATCAGCAGGGACAAGAGTCATACTTCACAGCTTGTTCAGAAAAATGCTTTCCCGGTTGCCTTTGCCTAAGCATATGTAAGTCACCTCCTGGGCAGAACTCCATCACCAAGCATGAGAATTTGTCTGTCTCAAAATGGGAATATAAAGTCGGAAGGAAGGGATGGTCCAATGACTGCAGTATCTCTCTTTCTGTCTGAGCGCGGAGCAACTTCTTACGGCCTGCTAGTGATGCTTTGTCCATGACCTTCATGGCAAAATAACACTTCGTACCACTCAACTCTGAAAGATAGACACTACCAATGTCCCCACAGCCCAACCTCTTCAGCAATCGGAAATGGCTCAAACCTAGGATCCCCTCTTTTGCTCTGACAGCTTGGATGGCCTCCCATCTTGAGTCATTTGCTTTATGAGGTCTGTTAATACTGCTACTTAAGCTGCTACAAGTACTCTCATCACTTACATCACTACTTGTGCTACCCCTACACATGCTGCTCTTGCCACTCTCAACGAAATCAGCCCGATCACTAACCTTGGCACTTCTGCTGGTTTTTGCAAAGCTGCTGGTTCCATCACTAACCTTAGCAGAGACTGAGCTATCCTTGACAGTTCTAGGCTCTGCCGTTTTCTTGTCCTGATCAGCTATACCTTCAAGTGTGCCCTTTGTTTCACTTATTGCAGGATTTATACCTATTGGCACTGCTTTTGAATCACCCAAAGACAAGCTTAAATCTAATTGATCAGCTAAATAATTGGCAGATCCATTCTGTCGAGAATCCTGTGACTTCTTGTTTACAATTGCTTCCACGGTAACCTGCTTAGAAGGAACTTCTTGAACACTGCAGGGTAATTTTTTGGGGTGGCAGGCTCGGATACACTAGTCTTGAACACCTGCAAAGGTGAAGGCCTTCGAGAATTTCCTTCTAATGTTTGACTACCAATTGTTTTGCTCTGCTTTTCCAGAGAACCTTTAATAACAGATTTGGAGGCCATTGGAAGGAATGCAAACTTGTTAAATTAATCGGATTGGATAAACCCATCAGTCAGCTCCCAGGTTCAGTACACGACCCCCTTCACTGGCTGTCCCAAATGTTATCATCTCCAACTCCAACAAGGTATCTACAATAGTCAGAGCCTTGAATATATAAGAATCACTATCAAGTGGTCTATGCCAAGATGAAAATTGAGGGGACAAAAAGGATGAAATGTCTTGAAAGCAGCACTGAAACTGGTTATACATATCATGTGACAAGATTTAAGCAAAACAAGGGGGTTAAATTCTTATCAACACTAAAATCTACCAAATTAGGGATAAGGTCATAGAGCCAGACCAAATAGTTACATAAGAGCTCAAAAACCTAAAGATCAAAGTACTGAAGACTCTGGTCAGTTGATCAAAATTCCATAATTAAAAGTATAACTTTCAAAACCCAATAGAAAAAAACAAATCTTTCAAGAAAACCTAGAAGTTGCAATCATAGAATTACAAGCACGTCCAGATCAAATGTTATATACATGAAAAAGAATCTAGATACTCAACAAGAGCGAGCATCGCAGCCACTACCTCAACGCGAATCGATCTTCCCAGGAAAAGCAATCGTAGAACAGAAAGTGCGAATTCTTGAAGGAATCAATCAGATCACCCCAATCAATGTAGTCTCACTGCAACTGTCAATAGCGTTCAAACACCACATAGCAAAAGATAAGACCAAAACCTGCGAAGATAAACAAGAAAAAAAAATGACGAGTCAATGAAAAGCACACAGATCTTGAGCACAGGCCCACCCTTTTCGATGGAAACCCTACCAAGGGATCCAAAATCCACAAAGACCCAGAGGCTAAAAGACAAAGTTCGAGGATATAGAGAAGAAAACCCAGCGAACCAATCAGAGGACCACTTCAAAAGTATTGAAAAAGAAGGTCGAAAAGAGTACCTGAGGTTCCAAAGACCAGAACTTTGGGGGTTTGCTTTAGCCGCTGAGAGAAAGAGCACTGCGGTAGAGAGAGATAAAGAGAGTGACCCTCCTCCTAAAATGGGTGGAGAGAGAGAGAGAGAGAGAGAGAGAGAGAGAGAGAGATAGAGAAGAGAAAAGGAAGCAAAATTTTGGTGGTAGAGTTGGGGCGTCTGTGGGCTACCATGTAGTGGTAATGGAGAGAGAGAGAGAGAGAGAATAGGGGTCAAAGCGTTTCTTCACGTTCGATTATTTGATTGATTTTAGTTTGTCCGAAGCACAAGGTCTGACTCAGCATGTGGGCCTCTCGGGGCTCCAACCTGTCTGTCATGCTTAGAACTATTTAGTTTTCCATTTAAGCCTCCAACTACTTGGAAATGACCTCTGGTGTCCTTTTTGCCACCCTTGTGGTGGTCCAAAATGAAAAGGTTAAACAGCTTTCGTATATCGATATTTTTATATTTTATTATTGTTATTTATGTCGTATTTATATTTATGTTAAGACTCGTAACAAAAATTATTTAATATATTTTATGAGTTAAATATTAATTTAAATTATTTATTATATATATATATTTAATAATTATATCAATTCTAAAAATATTATCGTGTTAGATTTATATCAAATTCATATCGATACGTTAAAGTTGACACCCGTAGGCTCTGTTTTGATGGGATAGACAAATGCTTCACATTTATGTTTCTTTGTTATGCAATGATCTTATGGAGTGGATGCAATCTATCCTTGTGTTGCCCAAAGTTAGACTTGTGGATAGATAGGGTTGTTAACCAATTTTGGACCATCAAGACCTATATTTTTGTCAGCTATATTACGTCTAATTGAATTTTTTTTATGGGTACAAAAAATAATTAATCAAGTTTACAACTTACCTCTTGTTTAACCATGACATGCAATTACCCACAAATTAGACATACCAATTAAATCGAGTTTTATGTGCTTAAGTCATTTAAATGAGAATGTACACATTTGGATGTCGTCCTTCGTTTGACTACTAAACCAATCCGTACTTAAGTTGAATGAATATGGATATCACAATAGTTTCAATCATATAAAAACACGGTAGGGTTAAGCCTAATAGATGTGCATCAAGCAAGATATCAAATTCATTGGTTTTTGGATTAGAAGTTTGAATGCATACATTTTTATATTGTCCTTGATTTGACTATTAAATGAATCTGTCCTTCAATTGAATGAATACAGATATTACATTGGTTCCAACCATACGAAAATACGGTCGCGTTCAATCCAATAAATGTGCCTCAAGCAAAATGTTCCTCACTATTCACCAAATTCATTTATTTTCAGACTAGAAACATGAAGTGAGATGTTTGAACGTAGTTTATATGTTGAGCTTGGTTTGACTATTGAACAAATCCGTACTTAAATTGAAAGAATACATATTCCACATTAGGTTCAATCATATGATGTTCCTCTCATTGTTCACCAATTTTTTTTTTTTGTCGACTAGAAAAATCAAGTGAGAAGTCTAATGTTTCATAAAAAGCCCAACAAATGAGGCAGGTTATACAGAACACAAGCTTAATTGAATAAGATTAACGCAATCTTAAAATATCAAAGGTCAGGAATAAAAGGTATCAATCACAACCACAATTTACAGCAGTGTGCTCTCAACACACGCAACCATGCTACAGTCTATTTAGCAAAGAAGCAACAAAAGTCAGACCTTATGTTCTGCTAACAAGCAACAATTGTCAGACCTTATGATCTGCTAAGAAGTAACAATTGTCAGACCTTATTATCTGCTAAGAAGCAACAACAAAATTGGAAGCAAACCCCCACATTGTTTTTCAGCAATCCGTTAACTTACTTGCAAGCATCTCACACTCAAACTTCCTCAGGTTCATTTAATTAATTTAAATTATATTTCAAGACGATAAAGACGGTCGAAACATTTTTATTTTTATAAAATTCGAAACGAATTATTGATTGAATAACAAAATTCCTATATTTTGAACTATTTCTAAGGTATTTCGATAAGTTTTGAGATTTCGGCATAATTCGACTTATATATGGATATATTTTGACAAGTGTTTCGAAAATAAATTTTAAAATTTCCATCTTATTTCCAAAATATTTTAAAAACATTACCAAAACATTTTCGTTTTAAAATACACCGAAACAAAATTTTGAACCTTACTCACTAATCATCCGTTTGCACTTCTCTTCTAAAATCTTCACATCTTCAGTGAATAGCACTTCGGGAGGTAATGCTACGGTGGCCTCGGTGGTAACTAGATTGAATTACCAAAAGAAAAGAAGAAAAAGGAAATTAGATTCATCCAAGAAAAAAAAGGAAATTAGATTCATCCGATAACTATCAGAACACATAAAATCTTCTTTCAAGGTCCAACAACATAAATCTCTCATTCATTACCTACCACATTTCAGCATAGAAACAGTTTCTCCTCGTTACACTGGTCCAAAATAGGTCAGCACAAAGATTGTACTTTTGATCATTTTGTTGAACTAGCATTTCAAGTATTGGCATTGAAACCAGTCAAGGTATGCCTAATTTGCTGCTGAATATAAATGATCAACTTCCAGACATTCAAGTGCATCACCAGGCCATTTGTGAAGCTCCACTACTACGTAAATGTCAAGCAGTTCCACACCCCTTCCTCATTGTAGAGCAAAAGGTAAAACAGGTGTGCCAATGTTTTTTACACCCCATCCGGAGGCGATTCTTACAAGAAGTTGCAAATGCAACCACAAGGTTGACCATCATCACATAACTTTCATCCTTAGAATGGCGTTGACCAATAACACAAACTGTCATCACACAATTAATGTTCATTTGAGTTATTCTGTGTCCAATTCAACAGCAGAAGAGACGGTGCAAAACATTCAGACAGAGTAGTTTATCAATCCACCACAGATCCTGGAAACTTCAAGGTTCAACATAGAAAATTCCAAGTTCCTATCCAAATAAATTGTCATACCTAGGGGAAACATCATTTAAATGATACAATACCTAAAGTCACCCCAAAATTACAATCTCAAGATCACATGATTAATCTTGGTTACATTTTAGCTTTGTCTGTGGGCAGTTGGTCATCAAGAATCTCAGCATTAGCAACTGAGAAAAGAATAAGCAGGTACCACCACTTGTTAACAGCACCAAAATTGCTTACAACCGTGAATAATATCACTTGAAGAGTTCTGAGTTTAGCCAGTCCCTGTCAAGAGAAAAGTAAATTGCAAAATAGTATCCATCAAGCTTTATGAACAACAGCACGATTGCCAATGGTAATACTTTTGAAATTATTGGATGGAGAGGCAAAAGATTGATGTATGCCTCTTACTTGCTAATGTCATCAAGGTGGTTATCAAAATCTGCAATATCCTGCCATTTCTCGGATGAAATGTAATCCAATAGGAGAATATTAGCTGATGGCTCCTTGATGCTCAGCTGGTTGCCCCCACCTGATCCAACAAGCTTCCAACTTCTAGTTGCATCCTTCGTGTAAAGCTGGTTAACAAAGAGAAAAACAAATAAAGTTTCAATCTTTATTTGAAGGACAGCCAACTTTAAGCAACAGTGAAAACATGTTTGGTCTACTACATAACCAAGACAGACAACAGTGGACAAAGAGATGAAATCTAATAAGAGCGTTTCTTACATGCATGAGATCAATGTGAAGCAAGAAATGACTTGGACTCGGTGAAAGGTACACACATAAGATGAAAATACACAATTTGCTTGTTTCAAGCATCTTGCTTGATACATCAAATAAGGAAACAGAATCTGCATAGCCAACACCATTTTGATTAGGTGGAGTTCCGTAGTTCAAATAAAACACATGGTAATAACAACGCATACCATTCAGCAAATCCAACAAACCAATAATAAATACACCATGTCTTAACCAAAAGACACCAGATATGTGAACTTTGTCCCAAGGTTCCTACCCTAATAGGTCAGTACAAGTACAATTTCAAAAGGATGGCTTTCTAAATGGTGCTGCTAAAATTGCCACAAAATTATCCGGAATGAACAGATTGTGGGACAAAACTAGAATATCAAAACGAAGTTACTCTTCCAATTAATTCAGTTTACCAAATCAATTTCTGCTATTATCAAAACAGCCTCCTACGGGGTAGACTCTGTAATGGCGGGTCTGGGGTACGAAATAGAACAGTAACCATAGTAAAAAGGGTAAAAACTCACCTGCATCACGGGATTCCGATCCTTCCCCTTTGCCAAAGCCTCCAGCTTTTTGTTATCTAACTGAAATTAAACAGTTCAACACCAATAAAAGAAATTGTCAACTACAATTTACAGAAATTAAAATCAATACAAAAGAAACTGATTTTAAGCATCAAATCAACCAAAAAACGTACCAAAAGAAGAGCAGCTTGGGGGAAATATCGATTAATGTGATCACCAATATTCTTAGCGACATTACCAAGCTCGAAATCATCGAATCTCTCATTGGCGTGAAAATAACCAACAATACTCAAACCTTGAGAAGCATAATACTCCTCTATCTATCACAATTAAACACCCAATAAATACAGTAAGTTGAAAACCCTGAGATCGAATCTAAACTTATAGGAGTTACAGAGAGTGTAGATTTGAGAACTGACCATAATTAGGGCAATTTCAAGAGGAGGAAGAAGGCCGATCTGGGAGTGGAACAGAGGGACGGAGTCGACAACTTCGACGACCGGGTTGGATGTGTCCTCGCCGGAGAAGCGGCCGAGGAGGACGCCATTGACGGCGGAGGTCTTGTGCTTCAGAGCATGGAGGACCAGCTTGATGTACGCGTTTTGCTCGATCTCGTAACGCAACTCGCCTCCCATTTGACTCAGTGAGTCCCGGAGAAGTAAACTCAGGTGGTTTTGGTGTGCCGGCGTGAGATTCAACACGGAGGCAGTTGGAATTGGAGATACCGAGATAACTGCGAACGTTTGCAAGGAGTGTGTTTGTGTGCGTTCCGACTTCGCATTAGTATAAAAGGTCCGGCCCGAAAATCAGCGGATGTAGCCTGATCACTAGGCTCCTAAAATTCACGACATAATTAGTTAACAGATCTATTAAACCCGTTTAAATAAATAAATTATTTTCAGGTGAAATATGTCAATTTATTTATAACTATTAATAAATTAATGATTATTCAAGAAAAATTGTCATAATAATATATATAATTATTAATTAAATTAATTTTAAATAAATGTTTAATTAATATTTATGTAAACAGATGACAAGTTAAAAGAGTTATCGTATTAACTCAACTCTACTCAATCTGATTCGTTTATTAAACGGGTTAAACAATTCATATCATATAACCCACTTAATAAACAAATTATGTTTAATTGGAAGATTTTCACTCCCTTAAACAAGACATCTACCAATTTACTCATTTTTCACACAATCCAATTAGATCTAACTCCTAACCAATTTACCCGACACATTTGACACTGTTATTGATCACAGATCCAAATGGGTCAACCAAACCAGCCTAAATCCACGGGTTGCTCCTTGGGCGAAGTGGGCCTAGTTAATTCTTTTTTTTTTTTTGACAAAGTATACAACCTATTATCAACTGTTTTTTCCATTATTCAACCTAATTATTGACTTATTTTTCTACAAAAAATTTAGTGAAAATTGGAAATGAGTCCTAGATGTACTTATTTGGAGATAAATCTTGTAAAGAAACTTATAAGGGGCTAAGTTCATATTTAAAATTATATGTAATGACTTAAGTCTACTTTTTTTTTCTATCTCAAAAATACCCTTTTTTGAAAGGAATATAATTTTTTCTCTCATATCTATCTATATCTATATCCATATATAGAGTAACATTAAAAAAAAATGGTAACATTCAAATACAAAAAAAAAAATTACTATGAATTTGAATAGTAAAATTTAAATTTATGTTACTATTTTTTTTATTATGTTACTGTTCACGTTACTGTTTTTGTTGAATATGTTACTTCACTATTATTTTTGAGCATGTTATTGTTTTTGTTGACCATGTTACTACTATTATTTTCTTAAATATAAATATTCAATGTTACTATTTTTTGTATTTGAATGGTACTATTTTTTGTATTTAAATGGTAATATTTTTTGCGTTTGAATTTAAGAGAAATAATTATTGTTAAGTATATTACAGTTTTGTTAAGTATGTTACTATTTTTGTTGAATATGTTACCGTTGTTATATTTTAAAAATATTAATATTGAATGTTTCAATTTTTTTTATGTTTAAATGTTACTATTTTTTTGTGTTTAAATGTATTATTTATTGTGTCCAAATGATAACTTTTTTTGTATTTGAATGTTAATATTTTTTGTATTTGAATGTTACTATATATATATGAAAGAAAATTTTTTAATGTTAGTCAAACTCTTAATCTATATATGGATATAGATAGATATAAGAGAGAAAAAATTGTAATGTTAGTCAAACTACTAAGATTTAAGAGTTTTTATTTTTTAATTTTATTTCACTTCTAAAGGGAAGAGATAGTATAGTGAAATTGACAAAAAAATGACTTCATAACCAATAAGTTTCCATGACGGACTTAAGTCAAAACAAGTTCATATATGGGGACCGGCCTCCAAATTTATCAAGTCGAAAGGATTATTTTGCGAGCTTACCTATTGGGCCACATTGATGTACTTTAATGAGAAATTTAGAAGTCGGTACAATTTTTAGACTTTTTTTTTCGTTGGTACAATTTTTTAGACTTATTTGGACAAAAGTACACCTCAAAAACTTATTTGGGATAAGTGCATACCAATATTGTCATTCAGTAAACAATGGAAATGTAGAACCCATTTATATTCCTCCATATATTATGGCTAGAATCAGTTAATGAGAGGTAAAAAAGGGGATTTAATTATCAAAACCCTTATTCTTCGGCATCTTGATTCCATGGCAATGGGATATCCATAGAATGACATAACTGTTCATTTTTTTTTATTTTAACCATTGAATATTCCACAAAAAAGAGTACTATGATAGTTCCAAAATCTAACTGTGTATCGTCACTGATATCGTGCAGAACCAATTCAGCGTCTCCGGCCACTTTTTTACCAGAAATTTGAGGTAACATTCTATTTTTTTTTTCATTCATTGATTATTTGGTTTTTTTTTCAAAAACCTGTGTAAGTTGATTTAAAAATAAAACCAAATCATAAAACCCTAATTTTGTGAAATTATATTAAGAATTTGCAAATCTATTATAACATATGTATATGCAAAAAAAATAATTTGAAACATGATTTTTTTGATTAAAAATAGTTATATAACTGTTTTAAGTAACTATTTGGGATTCAAATATATATTTTTTTTTATTCAAAATTTGATGGGTTTAACTGTGTTGCATAACTATTCTTCTGATTTTAAGGATTCAATTTTTATAAGTCTGTTACTAGCAACTTTATGGTTCATGATTTTTTTGACTAAAAATAGTTCAGTAACTGTTTTAAGTAACTATTTGAGATTCAAATATAGACTTTTTTTTATTCAAAATTTAATGGGTTTAACTGTGTTACGTAACTATTCTTCTGATTTTAAGGATTCAATTCTTATAAGTATGTTATTGACAACTTTATGATTCATGATTTTTTTGATTAAAAATAATTATGTAACTGTTTTAAGTAATTATTTGGAATTCAAATATAAACAGTTCTTATTCAAAATTTAATAGGTTTAATTGTGTTGCTTAACTATTTTTATGATTTTAAGGATTCATTTATATTTGTTATTAGTAACTTTATTGATTAACTGATTAATAGCTATATTTTATTTGTCTTGTAACTGTCTTAAATATCTGTTACTGAATCAAGCATAATGTTTATAGTCTTTTTGCCTCTGTGGATTAATTGTTGTTTACATTCTTAATGGAGGTAAGTCAGAACAGAAGCCAAACCAACTACAATGTGGTATTTGTATGGTCATTTCAATGGGTTACCCAATTCAGATTTTGGGTATAGTATCTTATCAAGACTCCCATTGGACATAAACTCATACACAAGTATCAATTCACCTTTCTCAACACACCAACATTGGAGCTCAAATAAATATTTGTGCCTCAAACAAGCAATAATGGACAATTTATCTAAGAATTCAGTTTTACCTTTCATGAGAATGATTTGATCTTTTCATTGCAATAACAGTTCCTGATTATATGAAAAAGGTTTAGTAAACAATGTCAAATGATCCATAAACAGTGTCAAATGCCTTTTGTGGCTGACTTGAGCTCTATGCATCTGCAAGCTCTTGGGGCTGTAACAAGCTTTGCTTTTAACAACTAATTGTGTTCCTAAAATTAGTTACTATGTGCAGTTGAGTTACAATGGTCATAAAAAATTTGAATGAATCCCACTTTGATGAATTAAACAGTTACCAATGTGTGAACTAATGCTTAGATTAATATAAATACACCATATATTAGTGTAGTTTGTAACTCCAAAAATATGATTGACATTTATCAAATGCATTATATTAAACATATTACACAAGTCCTCATCATTTTGCAAACAACATTTTGGGTGACCTGGTATAAAATATGACATGACAACAGACAAATTCTCTAAGTCCTCCCACTTTTTGCAAAGTCTACCACAAATGAAATCGAATGTTACACGAACAGAACATCTGATAATAAAAGTTTCAACATCATATTTGCATACAAACAACATTATTCCTTTCATTCCTGATTAAGACATTAAAAAAATGAATGACATTGTATCAATTCAAATGGAAAAGAAAAATAGTTATGTAAAAACATTAATACAAATCAATTAATTAATTATCTAAGTATTGGGAGAAAAACATAAAACAAAAAAAAATTACAAATATGCAGGATCTTCCAAAATAGATATTGCCCAGAAAATTGCACACAATAGCATTTACATTAAAACAAAACTCTAACTGAAAAATAGTTACACCAACTAAAAAACAAAACAATATTTTTCCCCGTTCATCCCAAAAAATGAACAACATATAACAATTTTTGATTAATAATCTGAGAATAAAATAAAACAATTAACAAACAATGACATATTAACAATTTTTTTGAAAACATACATTAATGTCAATATGAAAAAATAGTTACATATTGGGGCCTTGCCTTCTCTGATTGTAATCTAAATTTTCCTACTTAATATATCTTGAGGCCTTGCCTTGTTCTGTTTAAAAAAAAAAAAATAGTTACACCAATTTTAAAAACAGTTACACTCATTAAACCCAAAGCAGTTTTTTTTTTTCTCATTCATTCCAGCAACGACCAAACATACACAAAATCGAACATACGAATTTTCCAAAAAAAATGATCGAATTGTAGAAGAAATATAAATATTTTGTTTATACTAAAAATAATTACACCCATAAGAAATAGTTACATCAATTAGGATCAAAACAGTTTTTTTTTCTTCCATTCCAACAAGAAACAAACATAAAACAAAAATCAAACATAGAAATTTTCCCAAAAAAAATGACCAAAAAAAAAAGAAATATAATTATTAACAACTCAACTTCAATCTGATGACGATGATTAGTATTTGCAATACTTTTTTGAAAGAAAACCACTACCGGAGAAATAAATCGCCGTCGAAGAAGACTTATCAATTGAACACGTTGAAGAAGACTTATCAGTTGAACACATACATTTGATTTGAAAAAATATAGATAACAAATATGTAAAGATTACATATTGTTTCCTAAAATAATTGTCAATAAATGCATAAATCTCTTCCAAAACTGCTCATTCAAAATTCAAGAATTAAAAGATAACAAATATGTAATCTTTACATATTCGTTTCCTAAAATAACTATCAATCATAACTGCAAAAAATAAGGAAGAATGTTTAAATAAAAATGATTTTAATTCATTTGAATTTTGTACATAAACATAAAATTTTTTATAAAAATTGTACTTAATAGAATAAACCATTTACCCATAAATTTTTGCTCAAATAAGTATTGAAAATTGTACTCATACCTAAAAAATCCTACTTTAATTTTAGGAGAAATTGAAAGGGGTACACCAAATTAGACTTAATTGTAAAAAAATATACAGAAAAAATATAGAGTAAATAAATCCTTAATTTTAATACTTATTTGTATCAAAGTACATTATTTGAAATTTACAGATTTTCTTGTGACATTTCCTTCCTTGATACATATGCATTTTTTTTTTGGAAAGTGGTTATATTTTCAAATTATGTTTATGCATTAAATATCTCCTAGTTTTCTGGGAGAACTTTAATATTCCGTACATTTATGTCATTCCTTGATTCACGCATTTTTTTTTTTAGAAAATAGTTTTGTTTTCAAATTATATTTATGCATTAAATATCTCATAATTTTAGGGCAAAACTTTAATACTTTGTTTATTTTAGGATATATCACTTTGTTTAAATTTCAAATTTTATTAATATGCAAACACTATAACAATGTAACAATAACAGTGTAACAAAACATTTACACAAAAAATTGTTTGTCAACCATATATTTTCATATAATTTTATTCAAACAGTTCATTTCTGTTTTGAATTTATTACTATATGGACAAAACTACTGAACACTATCTTTATTACAGTATATTGTTACACTATCTTTGTTATACTACGAGAGAAACACAGTCAGCAGTTATGAGATACACACAATTTATTAACACGCAATGAATTCATTTTTTGAACATAAAAGAAACATTGTATTTCACACAGGCCAATGCTCAATTTTCAACAACTAGTTTTTGTCTTCGAATGTCCAAGTTCGTACATATCTTCAAATGACAAACAAATCTTCAAAAAATATATGATGTTGATGAACTTTACATCAAATGGGCTAAACAGTAGGATTTTTCCTTGTGATTTTTGGAGAAGAAGAAAAAACCCAAACATTTTTCGAAGATGAAGCACTTCACAAATAAATTTCAACGTATCAAATTCATTAATTAAGATATATTCTTAAAACCGTTTTAAAAAAGTAAATTTCAAGATGAAGAGATTTCAAATTAAATGACCCTAAATTTCAACACCTAAGATAAATGTCTTATTACAGATTTTAAGAAATAAAATTTTACAAAATGAACATTTACGTATTTGTATCTCAATAATATACTTTTTTTCAAACATTTTTTTCTTTATATTTTTTTACAATTATGTCTAATTTGATGTACCGACTTCTAAATGACCATTCAGCTAACCAGTAGGGCCTCGTAGACAATATCATGGCCCATGGCCTTACCATTTGGCTATTGAGCCGCCGACAGACCACCGGGCCAAACCATGGTCAGGTAAACTGTCAAGCTAACGGGCCAGCCTGTAGGCCACAGACGAGTTCGGGTCCTGGTCTTGATCCTGGGCAGGTACAGGGGTGGTAAACAAACCAAACGAATGAGCACATACCCAAACTTGACTAGCTTATTTTTAAAACGAGTTTTAAAATATGGTTAACTCATTTTCTATAGAATGAGGTTGAGCCAATTTTAAAACGAGCCAAACTCGAATAACTCAACTATTATATATATAAACGAGCCAAACTTTACAAGTTCCATTCGAGATTAAAACAAACCTAAAATGTTATTTAAATTCAATTCATTTTCTAAACAAACGTGCTCAAATCGAACTCAACAAACCAAATCCAAATTAAACCCGAATAACTCGTATCGTTTACCACCCCTCCCACTCCCACAAAAGATACTCAAAAAGGGAGGTCAATCAAGTCGGCAAAAGGACAAGTAGGCATTATATGTGAATATCCACTGTTCTTTGGTTGTCTCAGGTTAAAATTGATAAGTTTGATTTGTAGAAAAACAAGACATTGGATTGTGATATTGCAAGACATAACCGTGATGGGAGAGTGTTCTGGGAAAATCTTATTCCTTCTAGGATAGAGCAATAGGCTTACTTTTACAATGACAGTTAACAAAGCACAAGGTCAAACTCTTACAAAGATAGCCCCAATGTACAAGACTTCCACCATTAAATTACGGGTTCTAAAGAAGATCATATATACACAACTGCAGTCTTACCTATGTAAACATATCATTTCCAAGACTTAAAATATCAGAGCAAGCATTTTTATACAGACAATTATACGCAGCTTTATCAATGGCAAAATTTGCAGTAGGATTATAAGTTAAGCCCACAAGTCCAAATGATAGAATAAAACCACCAGAATTGTTTGTCTATCACCAACCATTAGAATTAGCTTATCTATCAGGTCATATAAATATGTCACAAGAAAGCTTATTAATCTTAATGTTCGTAACAAATTTCTTATTATACACTTGCACGAATGGAAACATTAATCATATAACATAAACCAGAATTGGTTCTCAAATATTTATAGAAAAATGGAGATTGATGACTCCGAAAATAATATAAGGGTCACCTATCCTACAAACCTTAGAAAAATTACAGCACATTTAGAAAGAAAAAAAAACTGTTCCACTTGCCATTATTAATGCTATTTCTGATATAGCACTCACTCATCAATGCCCAAAACTACGTGGTGAAAGTAATGTCAAGCACTATTTCATGCTAAACAATGGCAGAAGCCATTTTTGTTCTTAACAAGGGGAAGCAGCAAAATCCTTGTCTATCATACCACAAAGAGAGTCAATACTATGAGCTCTTAAACACAAAGCACGTATGCATACCCCTGTCACCAATAGCATTAAGACCAGAAGTCCTGCCACATTTTAACCAAGACATCTCTCTAGAACACTTCCAAACCTGCTAGCCAGTGCATAGCTAATGTGGACGCCTTGACTATAGCAATCCTGAAATGTCAAACTAACCATAACAGAAGAACTTCCTATCTAAGATCAACTAAACATTTAAGTAATGAGATTCAAGTGAAAATGCTAAAGAAAACATAACAGCTAACCATAGTTCTTACACGATAAATATCTAAAGATCAAACTAGGGAAGAGTCAGACAACCAAAAGAACGCGCTAAAGGACAATCATTTCTAGAAGAACACAACCAGACGCCAAACAAGTAACAAAACACATCTATAAGGTTTCTAAATTACAATAGAGAAAGCAGTCTTCTAAATTCCTCTGGTCTTGTAAGCTTCCTCATTTGACATGGCAGAAAACACCTTAGGGCTGAGAAAGTAGCTATCAATGCATGAGTCAAAACACAATAGACTAGACAAACCTCTGAGAGACTTCTAAGAGCAACTGCCTTATAGTGCCTCTTTTTCTACCTTGAATAAGGATGGTAGCGACTACTGCCACTATAGCCTCCCCGCCCATAAAGCCCACCTGTTCCACCATAACTAGCACCTGGACCAGAGTCATAACCACCACCATAGTCTGAACCTCCATAACTGCCATAGCCTTCGGTTGGGCCATAACCACCTAGTCCACTACCACCATAACCCCCACTAAACCCACCACCATAAGGTCCAAAGCGGCTAGAATAACCAAGGGAAGATTCACCTCGGTAACCTCCTAGGCTACTGCTGCCAAAACCTCCATAGCCGCCATAGTCACTAACAGCACTACCATACCCACCATATCCACCAAGCCTACTGCCAAAACCTCCAGGCGTCCTATAAGGACCAGGGCCAAACCCACCATCAAAACCCCTGTATGATTCGCCAAAGCCATCACCAAAAGAACGATTCCTAGAGTTGCTACCATATCCAGGAGCTGGGGGTGGTTTTGAGGATTTCTTTGGTTCTGCTTTCTTGATCTCCACCTACAACAAAGAAACTAGTTAACCTATATTCTTCTACTGCATGAAACTAGTATGAGAGCCTTTTCCCAGAAAACCTCTACCTGTAACAATCTCAACCTACCATTAGACATATAACTACCAAAGTAATTGCTTAATGGGAAAGATTTTTTCCTTTGGGCTGGGGGGAGGGGAGACACTAATAACCCATTATTTACACCCATTAAAAATGAAGTTTTTCAAGCTGTTATAAATGTGTGCCTGTTTTACATGCTGGAATTTTGAGGACCATGAAACTAAGCTCACCTCGGTACCAGACATATCTATCATATTACCATGTGACAACAAGTCGTCAACAACTTCCTCATTGTCAAATATTATAAATCCAAAACCCCGAGAACGGTTGGTCTCGTGATCTCGTATAATCTCGTGTTCAACCACCTTCCCGTACTTGGAGAAGAAATTCTTGAAGTCGTCTGAACAATTCAACATGCCCATAAAACAAGGATACATAAGTACACAAAACAAAATGCACAAAATACACAATTCTAATATTTTAGCATCATGAACAAGGTACCTTCACTGACACTTGATGGTATACCACCAACAAATATCTTCTTTGTTTTGAAGTCTTTTGATTGTCCAGAGCCTTTTGGAATGGTCCTTTTGATCTCAACCTACCCCAATTTTACAAGGTTAGTTCCCAGATGAAAAATAGAGATAGAAATATGCTATGTAGTAACATAACAATACAAGACCATGAATCCCTTTACAAAAATTACACCTCAAACCAATCATAAAATCAACCAGATTTTTTAAATAATTTTTTACCTGTTTTCCATTAATGACATGGGTGTCCTCGATAACCTTGTCAACAACTGAAGGGTCAGCATAGGTGATAAATCCAAAACCCCTTGGTTGCCCAGTGTACCGATCTTTCATTATCACTGAGTCTGTAATCTCGCCATATTCTCCAAAGTGCTTATTAAATGTATCTATGGATTATCAAGAAAACAACTCCATATTAATAACAATTATATAACCAAACACCCAACATAACCACTATATGCAAAAGGAATGCATCTATAACCCTTATATAATGTGTAACTTCCCAAAATTCCATTATTACAATTGGCAAATCTGAAGCAAATCAAAAACAGAAAAAGACAACACTCCTAGTAAATCAAAGGGCAGTGTTATACAAACATATTTTTTTGACAAAAACTTCTAACAAACTAATATGGCACTTATGCCTCCAAATGCCCCTCCCCTTCTTCCTCTTTCTCTCTCAACAAAATGAGACTATTTTCAATTATTGTGAATAGATGTTGATGAGTTTCTCCACTAGAGTGAACTAAGAAATTGGGAGAATTATTGAATTAGCGAAATTATATGTTTTCATCTTTTAACACTTTATGGCTGTAATATGAATTATAATAACAAAAAATTTTCTAGGAAACTTCAAGTGTAGTGCTATCGTTTTCTTAGTTCAATTTTATTTTCTTTTTCTTCCTTTCTTTCTAATAGTTTTGTTTCTCTTTTGTGATCCAATGACACTTTAAATAGAATACTATATTGTTTTGACTTTTACATTTTGCTATCTACATTATGTTGTGTTAAATTATTTAAAATGTTGTTGGATTATTTAAAATATTGAATTTATTTAAAATTTTAGATTATGTTACTTGGGCTTGGGCGGGTACGGGGGAAACAGGGACAGGAACGGGGACGGAGATTAGAAATTTACCCACGGACGGAGATGGGGATAAAACCTATATTCGTTAACAGGAGTGGACCTAAAATAGACATAGTTTTTTTAAGCGTGTATGGGATGAAAACTACACTCTCCGCCCCCGCTTCGGTCCACTGACATCACTAGCTACCACCAACTACCATCCATCACAACCATGCCTATGAGTTCCTGTATTGACTGCTATTGTCTCGATATAGTCAAAACTCGAGATTTACACTCTCCGAATAGGGTACTAATGTCTAAACCTTGCGGTAGTCAACTATGGTTTGCGAGTGAAAAAGAGACTAGGAAATATTGAAAACATGCGAAAAGAAACAACCAAGAGAAGAGACACTCTATGAATGAGTGGGAATAAAAAACAAGGAACGGACTAAATTTCTAAATAAATGATGTGACAAGAAGGAATAGAGGGTGTGGCGATTGCCCAAGGGAAGATACACCTAGATGGGTATTTCTTCGGACCTCAGTGAACCAAATGGGGTGGTATAGTGGAATAGCAATTGTTCTGCCTAACGTGAGAGAGAGAGAGGGGGGGGTTGGGAATGAAGAAGAGTTCACTTTCAGAAAGACATTTGGATAGGAGAGTCGTCTCTTGCTTTATTGTTTCCAAGATTATTTAGATTGTCAGGTTCTCATAATAGTCTTATGGCTAATTTGTTTTGTTTTTCTACTTCTTCCTCTTCTTTGAGTGGGTGGAATCTAAATTTCTTCCGTAATATTAATGATCGGGATATCTTGGAGTGTTCATTACTTCTTTCCTTGTCGGATTTGGTCTCTCTGAATTCCTTGGCTAGTTATAGAAGAGTTTGATTTCTCAATTCTTTCAGAAACTTTTCTTGTTCTTATTTTGAATACTTGATCGATGATCCAAGTATTGTTACATTTGAGCCCCATTCATTAATTTGGAAGACAATAGTGTCTGTTTAAGTGCAAGTGATTGCTTGGATCATAGCTCACGATAAGGTGAAGGCCTAACACTTATATTTCTCTACATTGGTGTGTTTTATGTAAGCAAAGTTGTGAAAGTATTGATCATTTGTTCCTTCATTGCCCTCATTATCCCTTTCTTATGCATAAACTTTTGAAGGAGGCAGATTTAGCATGAGTAACCCAGCGTTAATGTGTTTCTCTTTGGGTGATTCTTTTTTATGGTTCTGAAAATGGTAAAAAAGCATAAACTTTATGGAAATGTGTAATATTGGCTATTTTAGGGTGGTTTGGATTGAGAGGAATCGTAGAATCTTTGGAGAAAATGAGTAAGATAAGAAATTGTTTTGGTACAGAGTGAAGTTTTTGGCATCTTTATGGGTTGTGGTTTACCAATGATTTTCATGACAACTCTCTATTAGCTCTACAACACCCTTGGAAAGTTGTTTGTAGTTCACAGCCTTTTTTTTTTTGTGTGTGATTTTTGCACTCTTTTGGTGGATTTTTTATCTACTATTTATGTATTTTTATATCTTTCAATAAAATGAAAGTTTTTGTTTCTAATCATAAAAGAGAGAGAGAGAGAGAACTAATCGTTTGTAAGCAAAGTTGACCTTCCATTTGGGTTGTAAGCAAAATTGGTTGAGTTTTGTTTTCTTTTTTTTGAGACACATTTTTCTAGATCAAAAAGCTCTAAATGCTAAATCTCACCATTTCTAGGGCCCAACCCAGTCGTGGTTTTTCGAATTTCAGAGAGACTCAAACAAATTAAACAATCGATACACCACAATAAAGCCAGCTCAAAGATAAAGATGGCTCAACATTTACAATCGAAGATCCTCAACGCCTCAACCGAACAAAAGCTCGCCATAAAAAGAACACATCCAAAATCCCCAAAATCTACCCTAAACCAATGATCAATGCATATAATAGCCATATCCAGCAACCACATAAATTTCTCTGGACATATATAATATTCTTACAATCACGCAAACTATATTCCTCAAATCACATAATATATGTACTGCAAGAGAAATCGAGAGAGAGAAAGGGTAAAGTCTTACTATAATTTGTATCTTTTGGCAATCCTCCGATGAATATCTTCCTGAGATTGTAAAAAAAGATGAGATTACTATAAATTTAACCAAATATACAAAAACAAATATGAAAAAAGGGCATCGAAAAGTGGGGAGGAGAACCATACCCAGGACTCGCGCCATCGTCGCCCTTCCATTTCGATCCCATTGCTAAGCCTGTTCTCTTCTTTTCGATCTCTGCACGAAAATGAGCACTTTGGAGTAAGACGACGAATAGCTAGGTTAGGGAGGAATCAAACCAAGCTCGAGACTATTAGAGAGAGGAATTGGTGGCGTAGGATCTGCAGAATATATTGATGGGATTTGTATACGGAAGTACAAATTTAGCCCTAAACCAACCCCCAAACAAATTGCACTCAATGTCCCTAAGGTTACCATTAGTAGCACTTTTGTCAATCAAATTCAATTTTTTTCAATTTTATCCCCAAAATTTATATATCGAACCAATATAATCCTTGACCCTACTAATATAATCCTTATCCCCTTGCCATTATCAAATCCACAAAACATTAGTCAAGGGAGCCAATATGATGGGAGACAAAGGATGCCACCTACACCACCTTCATCATGTGGGGTTTAGCACAAATCCACATGAAAATTGATATAAAGGCATGATTTTCATACATGTGGACCAAGGGTGATGCCCCCATGGACACCATTATTTAACGATTGACCTTGAATGACATCATCATTTTGAAGTTGACCTTGAATAGGGTTATAGGAGAAGGCTACGCTACATTTATAGGAATTTTTGGTATCATACTCAAAATTTCAAATTACAACATTAATGGTATGTTTATTAAATTTATGGCATATTTACACCGATTGGTAAAAAGACAAAGACATTGAAATGATAAAACAAGACATATTTTTGAGCCGCCATGAAGTTAATTGAGAGCAAAATTACAACATTAGTGAGAAGTTTACGATTATAGTGAACAAAATTACAACATTAGTGAAAATTTTACAACAGTAGTGAATAAAATTACAAAATTTGTAAGAATATTTATAATTTGAATGGTATATTTACCAAATTTATAAAAATATTTACAACTTTAGTGGTATGTTTACCAAATTTGTGGAAATTTTTACAACTTCAATGGATTCAAAGATTTATAACTTCATAGGGAGATTTGATCGATCATGGTGAGATTTGATCGATCATGGAGATATATTTGATCGATCGTGGGGAGATTTGATCAATACACACTTGTGTGTGCTTATTTTATGAATATTTTACAACTAATCCAAGAAGATATACAACTTCAATAGAACAATTACTACTTTTATGAGAATATTTACAACTTCAATAGATTCTTTATTGGAATATTTACAACTTCATCGGGAGATTTACAACTTCAGTGGTATATTTATCAAATTTGTGAAAATGTTTACAATTTCAACGATATATTTACCAAATTTGTGAAAATCTTTATAACTTCAATGGATTCAAATATTTACAACTTCATGGGAGATTTAATCGATTACAAACTTATTGTTTTTCAAAAAAATTGAGGGAGACTATTTCAACCTTGCGATAGATCACAAGATCTTAGGATAGATCGCAAATATTTTGGAGATAAAAAATAATAATAATTTCGATATATTTCAAAAATAATTTCGATATATTTCAAAAAATAATTTTGATATATTCTAAAAAATAATAATAAATTTAAAAAAAAATTAAAATTGAATTTTTATTAAATATATTTTTGATAGATCAATTACACATATTTTATATTATCACTTTTATGGGAATATTTATAATTTGAATGGATTCTTTATGGGAATAATTACAACCTCAGTGGTATGTGTTACCAAATTTATTTGTTTAATTGATCTATCAAAAATATATTTAATAAAAATTTAATTTAATTTTTTTTTAAAAAAAAAATTAAATTGAATTTTTATGAAATATATTTTAAAATTGAATTTTGAAAAATCGATCAAATTGTTGTTTGATCTATCAAATTATTGTGATAGATCATAAACATTCATAAAATTTTTCCACTATTATTGTAAATTTTTTCCATGATTGTTGTAAAATTTTTCACTAATATTGTATTTTGTACCACTATTGTGGTAATTTTTCCACTACTCTTGTAAATCTTTCATTAATGTTGTAACAGAAAATCATAAAGTGATAAAGACAGAAAGTTCATGATCAATCAAACATATATTTGATCGATCATGGACTAGTAATGAATCTATGAAATTGTAAAGATTGTCACAAATTTTGTAAACATACCACTGAAGTTATAAATATTTTCACAAATTTGGTAAATATACTATTGAAGTTGTAAATATTCCCACAAATTTGATAAATATTCCTACAAATTTTGTAATTTTATTCACTACTGTTATAAAATTTTCACTAATGTTGTAATTTTGTTCACTATAGTCGTAAACTTCTCACTAATATTATAATTTTACCCTCAATTGACTTAATGACGGCAAGAGAGAAAGGCAAAAAGTCCATGATCGATCAAACATATATTTGATTGATCATGAACTAGTAATGAATCCATTGAAGTTGTAAAAATTTTCACAAATTTGGTAAACATACCACTGACGCTATAAATATTTTCACAAATTTTGTAAATATATCATTGAAGTTGTAAATATTCTCACAAATTTGATAAATATTCCTACAAATTTAGTGGTATGTTTACTAAATTTATGGTAAATTTATAACTTCAGTGGTATATTTATCAAATTTGTGGAAATATTTACAACTTCAGTCGTATGTTTACCAAATTTGTGAAAAATTTTACAATTTCAATGGATTCATTACTAATCCATGATGGACTTTTTGTCTCTCTCTCTCTCTGTGCACCACAAATTTGGTGAGAAAATTTACTAAATTTGTAGGAATATTTACAACTTCAGTGGTATATTAACTAAATTTGTGGGAATATTTACAACTTTAATGATATGTTTACCAAATTTATGAAAATCTTTACAACTTCAATGGATTCAAATATTTACAACTTCATGGGGAGATTTGATCGATCACAAACTTACTATTTTTCAAAAAAATTTGGGGAAGACTACTTTAACCTTGCGATAGATTACAAGATCTTAGGATAGATCACAAATATTTTGGAGATAAAAAAAATAATAATTTTGATATATTCTAAAAATAATAATAATTTTTTAAAAAAATTTAAAATTAAATTTTTATTAAACATATTTTTGATAGATCAATTACACATATTTTTTTAAAAAAAATTTAAAATTGAATTTTAACTCAAATTTTAAAATTGAATTTTGAAAAATCCAATTTTTATAAAAAAAATTAGATTTAAAATTGGATTTAAAAATTGATTTTATAAATTTTCAAAATTTTTTTAAAAAATATGTGTAATTGATCTTTCAAAAATATGTTTAATAAAAATTCAATTTTAAATTTTTTTTAAAAATTTATTATTATTTTTTAGAATATATCAAAATTATTATTCAGAATATATCGAAATTATTTTTTTTTTTATCTTCAAAATATTTGCGATCTATCCTAAGATCTTGTGATCTATCACAAGGTTGAAGTAGTTCCCCCAAATTTTTTTGAAAACGGTAAGTTTGTGATCGATCAAATCTCCCCATGAAGAAGTTGTAAATATTTGAATCTATTGAAGTTGTAAAGATTTCTACAAATTTGGTAAACATATCATTGAAGTTGTAAATATTTTCACAAATTTGGTAAATATACCATTGAAGTTGTAAATCTCCCTATAAAATTGTAAATATTCCCATAAAAGTGGTAATTGATCCATTGAAGTTGTATATCTTCTTAGATTAGTTGTAAAATATTCATAAAATAAGTACACACAAGTGTATATTGATCAAATCTCCCCACGATCGATCAAATATCCTCATGATCGATCAAATACATCTCCATGATCGATTAAATCTCCCAATGATCGATCAAATCTCCCCATGAAATTGTAAATATTTGAATTCATTGAAATTGTAAAAATTTTCACAAATTTGGTAAACATACCACTGAAGTTATAAATATTCCCACAAATTTGGTAAATATATCACTGAAGTTGTAAATATTTCCACAAATTTTGTAATTTTATTCACTATTGTTGTAATTTTGTTCATTACTGTTGTAATTTTGTTCACTGTAGTCGTAAACTTCTCACTAATGTTATAATTTTGCCCTCAATTAACTTAATGACAGTTCAAAAATATGTTTTGTCTTGTCATTTTAAAGTCTTGTTTTGTTACTAATCGGTGTAAATATACCATAAATTTAGTAAATATATCGTTAATATTGTAATTTAGAATTTTGGATATGGTACCAAAAATTTCTATGGATGTACCGTAACCTCCTCCAGGATTATCATTCAATAATTGACCTCGATTGGATGTAGATTATCCTCGAGTCCATTATATGTGCGGCACAAGGCTGCCTTACAATGAGATGGGAGGATTTTTCGGTGAGACAATCACTCATACAATGACCTCACCACCCAGGTGGACCAATGGAAGGGTTTCTCTCCAAAAAGGTGTTGGTCTTGTCGACAACACACATTACAACTAACCGACGTGAGCATCCCTGAAGGTATAATAGTTGAAAGATTTAGACTCATGTATGCATGTACAATTCAACACAACACTCACTGTAGCACTTCGTGTCCACTCTAGCACTTTGAATTGACTTAAACATAGGATGGAATATGCCAGAGGATCATCTGGTCCTATTCTTCACTTGCTTTTAGTTTGTAGTTAAAAAAACACAAGGTGTCACTATCTCATTGGTTGTCGGAGTTTAGCCTATGCAAATTCGAAGCCCAATTCTATCTCTTTCAACTTTCTGTATGCATCTCTAAGCAGGCTATTCATTCTATCTTTTTACACTCAAAATACTCTAAGCCTAGTTCTCTCTCTTTTTGTACCCTTTTATGTCACTTTCTGCACATAAAACTCAATCACACTCACAAAACCCACATTATTCCACTCTTCAAATCTCTCTTTTTTTGTACACAACAAATTGAAGATACCAACTAAGGGTGTGGTGGCCGACTTGCTAGGGTAAAGGAGAAAAACAAAGGAATTACCAAGTATTTTAAAAGATAGAATTTGACGTGAATGGTTATAGAAAGACTAAGACATGAAAATGAGATAGAAATGGATGAGGAGCGGAATTTCAGGAGTGAAAGAATTGGGGTAGGGAGTGGCGCCACCATACATATACCTCATATTATATGAAAATTCATATTTTAAGAGACTACTTGCTTACAAAAAGGGGTTGTTGTTGTTACTCAATTGATAACGTTAGATGATGTAGCCACAATTGAGGTTTATTCAAATAGATGAGCA